AGAGTATTTAATGAATAAACGTATGTAGATCTAGAGTATAGATCTAGATTTTGTTGTGCACCCAGCCAAGAGGGTGCAGTTCGGTCTAGATTTAGATTCTAGATCTAGATCTAGATAGATCTAGATCTAGACATCTAGATTAGATCTAGATTCTAGATCTAGATACGTTTATTCATTAAATACTCTCTCTCTGGGCTAAAATAAATAAATTATAGTAACACTAGATCGACACACCGCCCGAGATGATCAGTAGCCTTGCATTGTAACCAAAGATAGTACAACCTACCGTAGGATGTAGTATCTTTGTTGTAACCAATGTAAACTACCGCTCGCTCAGCGAGCCAATCACAATCCAACATTTTGGGGTCCACCTAGATACCATGACTACGTATACCCTATCGGGGAGTACGTAGACACTTCCCACTTAAATATTACATTTGCAGAACTCACTGTGCATAGTAGTCTTAGTGTTGAGTGTGTGTCATTTTTGTTTGTTTGTTTGGCACTTACTCTAGATCCCTGCCAGGCTGTCCTGGGGGGCAGGACACAACCCTCATTCATCGCATAGAGTGACAAAAAACTTGGAAATTATTTAATAGAAGTATGCCGAAAATTGAGGGCAAGCGAGAGAGGGGTAGGCCCAGAACAACATACTTAGGGAACCTAAACAAATGGGTAACAGGAAAACATCAGGGAAACGTAGCTTTTTTTAAGAGCATCCGAGCAAAGGAATGAATGGAGAACCATGATCGCCGATGTCTGACGCAGATCTGGCACTGGATGATGATGCCAAAAAATCACAAGGGGGATGCTTCTAAGTGATGACTTTGTTAGTGTGTTTGTTACCCTACGTCTATGCTATCATATTTTCCAAACATTGAAAGGAGTGTGACCAACAACCTTTGCAATATGTGAGGCAGCGTGGTGAAATAAGGCTCTCGTCAAAATAATCAAAGTGAAGAAACTTGCATTTTTCCAATGGTTTGTGAATTTTTATCAAATTTTTGTTTTTTGGCTCAACACCTGTCATGCCCATTAAAGAACTCATTTCTGTATAGATTTTCTGAAAAATGTTGACTAAAGGCACAAAAACATGTCAATGTTCAGTTACCACGGACTCTTAAGCTAAGGAAACAACCAATCTTTGGCGGCCATTTCTCACTAATTTTACCTCTGAAAACAGGTGACCCTCACCTCCTTCTTTTGCAAATATCTCGACTTTTATTCAAGATAAATGGATATTTTTTTCATCCAAATAAAGACAAGTGAACAAGCTTTAAGATGATACCAATAACTCTACATGCCCCAAAATTGACGAGAGCCTGATTCCACCGCGCTGCATCACATATTTTTCTTAGTCAATGCAGTTGCGTTCCGTAACAAAAGACTAACACGTCTAGACCTGTTCAACTGATCCGTGTCTGAACCACTTTGTTTGAGTGGGTGGTTGGTGGGTGCTCTGGTGTGGTTTGCTCCTTTCCTCTAAACAGCTATCGTCCTTATCTCTCCTCCTTCTTTTTTACGTTTGTTGTTACTCTCTTGTAACACCTTTAATCTTCGGCACTTATATGACCTTATTGTGTTGCAAGTGCCGTAAAACTCTTTACTAAAACTAAAAACTTTGTTTGACTCTTTCTCTCAGGCAAAGGAAGTCAGTGATAATCAACGAGTGGATTACGCCACCATTATTCTGAGTGTGGACCCTGTGAACATCAACCCCCCAGTTATCACAGCCAACAGCAATGTGGGTTACATCTACGAGAACTCGCCGCTGTTCTCTCAAGTCTCTGCCAATCCTGGATTTACCTCTCTGCTGAAGCTGACCTTCTCCGACGCTGACGTGGTGAGTACTAGTTTTTCTCTTCTGAGTGTTGGTTTTTTTTGGGGGGTTTTATCTTATATTTTATTGTCAACAAATGATGGTTTGGGGGGGGGGGGAATGGTACTTTAGATATCTTTTGTTGATGGGCATCAGCAATGGTGGTGTTCTCTATGAAGTATCGGTGACCAGGTACAAGATGAAATTATCATTCTGGCAAATAAGTAGTGCATGTAGAACATAAAATGTGCTATGATTTTCTATTGATCGTTCTCATATTTTGAACTTAAAAAACAAAAACTGGCATATACATTTATGCATGGATGAAGTAGATTTTTCCTTAAAAAAACTGCAGTCTTATATACGAGATAGGGTTCTTAGTACTGTAAATAAAGTTTCATGGTCTTCTATATAAATGATTTGTTGTTGTTGTTGTAATGCTGATCAGTTGATATGATACTGCACTGCAATTCATGTTGAATTCTTTCATTAACTTTGCATTTGGTAAGAGGTAAATTCAATAATCAATTAGTGGATTTAAAAAAAATGTACCAGTAATCCAATTATTATGTCCAGGCAACACTTATGTAACAATGTATATCTGGCTTGCTGTACGTCGCAGAAGACTCTTTATTTCTTTTCCAACTCTGAACTTTTTTTCTTTTGCTTCTTTTTTCCACAGTCTGTGTCGGATGTGTTTTTATTTGACATTTCCATTGACCCGCCATCTGTACCCTTCTCTGTCAGCGATGATGGCTATGTTGCTGTTTCAATCGATAACGTTTTGGATTTCGAGAATCGACAATTTTATGAGTTTACCGTAAGTTATATTATATTCGTGTTTCCAAAGTTAAGTGCCATATAATCTATAAGTGGGGAGAATGTTGTTGGACAACTATTAACTGTACTTTAAGGTACCGAAGTAGAAATCTAGCTGCTGAAGGTGGGTGGTTGGCGGATGCTCTGGTGTGGTTTGCTCCTTCTGTCCTGTCAAACGTCTATCGTCTTTATCTCCCCTGCTCCTTTTTTATGTTTGTTACTCCCTTGTAACGCCTCTAATCTTCGGCACTTTTATGACCTTATTGTGTTGCAATTGCCGTAAACACTTACTGAAACAAACAAGCTGCTGTAGATCTACTTCCACCCTCCATTTGGAAAATAAGAAGGTAGCTGTGACGTCATGTAAGAAAGATGACTTTAAATTATTGAAGAATGAACGGGCTGGAGTGGACCTTTATCATCAAATGTTAGTTATGTTGAGCAGGACGAGACGGTGAGAAAGATGTCTCACTCTGGGGTTGAATTTGAACTCTCACCCGTGTGTGGAATCTGACAGCGCTTCCTCTTTGTTATGCTCTAAAGAGAAATAATATGTTCAAAGTAATGGAAGCAGCCTGAAGAAAGCTTCGTTATTTTCAATTTTTGTAGAGCCTCTGTACTCCAGGGACCCGGGTATTTGTGCTGTGTACATTTCCAAAATGACATTCTTACAATTCTCTAGGCCAGAACTAGGCTTGACTTCGTCGTAGCAGTTTCAGTGCCTAGCACATTTATTTTAAGTATCAACCCTGATTTCAGTAAATTTCTATGATATGCATGCATAATTATATATATATATTTATACATACCTGCATACTTTCAATTTTGAATTCTTGTTTTCAGGTGACCATCAGAGATAGAACTCCTCAGAGATTTTCTGCCACTCAGAACCTGAGAGTGAATGTTGTGGATGTGAACGACGTCAGGCCGACATTTTTAACACCTCAGAATTATGTGACAGATGTTCCCGAAGGCGACTACACTAACCCCATAAACTACCGCACTCTGCTACAGGTGAGAAGGTTTCAATAAGTGTGTTCACGAAAAATCCATTTCATTACCCATATATCGTCATGTGGCATATTTGTTTGTTGACTTTTCTCTGATAGTCTATTCTTGCAAGGGGTTAAATTATTCCCTTTTTGTGCCTATAGGATACCTCAGGCTTCGAAAATACAGTTATATTTGTTTAATTGTACTGTGTCTTCCCTCAGCAGAGAGCATTGTTATGCTTTTCCTCAAAACTTGTTTTGTTTTACATCTTTCAGGTTCTCCCCCCGGGGCAGTGCCACTGGCTGAAGTGTCTTTAGGCCATTCCCATAGGGGGGACATTTCTCGTTCTAGTGCACAGTAGAATTGTAGATGGGCTGATCTAACAATGTCATGCTCTTAACTGTGCCTGAACTACAACAGGGAACTGCTGCATATTCTTTCCTAACTCTTACTATCGTCATTTTCCTCTACCTCTTTTGTATGTTTGTCACACTCTTGTAACCCGCTATTTCCGGGATACCTTGATAGTCAAAGCAGACTTTGTGCTGCTGAAGCTAGAGAGGTGAGCAGAGTAAGTCTGATTCCCTTTAAGGACTTCTCTGTTGACATCCACCCCTTGGCGCTCATGTGACCTTATGCAGTTGCGAGCACTGTAAAACCTCTACTAAAACAAACAAACATCTTTCAGGTTCAGGCTAGTGACGCAGACTCTCTGCCGGTGAGATACAGCCTAGTGGATATTGAACCGAACGCACCTTCTACTTTTGATGTCTCCCAATTAGACGGGACTGTCACCTTGCAAGGATCAGTGACCGCTGGTCAAGTTTATTACCTGTATGTGAGAGCCTCTGACAGCGGAAATCCTGCATTGACGTAAGTGCTGATAAATGCTGAAGAACAGGATTTTGACAATGCTAGGAACAAAGATATATGCTAGATATTTATATCAACCAAACAGGGAGAACAAGGTATATTATTTGATACAAAAGGTTATCACGTGTGAGATTGTTGTGTGGTATGTGGCTTACACATTGTTACACAATGTTATAATGTGTTAAAATGTTGCATTGGTGGCCGAATGATCCAGCTCTCTGACTCGTAACCGTAATATCATGGGTTCGAATCTCTGACTCGTAACCGTAATATCATGGGTTCGAATCTCGTCAGGGGCCAACGTTGTGTCCTTGGGAAAGGCACTTTACATGCATTTTCCTTCCTTCACCCAGGCGGGAATGGGTACCCAGCAATAGACAGTGAAAGATCTTGTCACTTTGTTGGAGTTTTTTGCTTAATCAGCTGCTTGCACTGTACGCTTCCCGGGAAGCTGAGAATGTTTCTGATTGTTTTATGGTCTGCCGGGGTAATGATGTGTGAAGCGTGCTTACAAAATTAGCTACTTCTTGGATTCGAGCGCTATGGAAGTAGTTACACCACGCTTATAGGAGAAGTTTTTACAATTTATGAGTATAAAATAACAAAAGGCATGTTATACTTAAAGAATATGGCATCAATAGAAAATCTACAAATTTGACCCCTGAGTCGATTTTGGCCAATATATCTCCGTTTGTGGATAGCAAAAAGTAACTCATTTTGTCAGCATGCCTCACATATAGTGTAAAGCACATAGAGTGGGGATTTGTACAAATACTACTACTTATTATTATTATTATTATTATTATTATTATTATTATTCTTAAAATGATTTCCTCCTGTCTCTTGCAGAGCTGACACTGTGGTGGTGGTGAATGTGGTTCCTAAGCTCAACCAGGCTCCCAGGTTCTCCGCAGACTCGTACTTGATCTACGTCAGCGAAGGTGTTCCTGTTGATTCGGATCTCTTCCTGTTTCAAGTGAGTCCTTATGCTTTGGAGATAAAAAGTTCATTAAGGTCACGGTTAGCTGAAAGTAAAACTGACAGATGGACAGAAAAAACACAAAAGAGTTGTAAATACTTTGCACAAGATGCATTCCCTCACTCTTTTGTGAACTGTGATGTAAGTCAGAAAATAGTAGAAAGAATGGGGTAAAAACAAGTCTTGATTTTAAAGGCTGTGGCCTCTACTGCTTGATTAGTATAAAATTTTTTTAAAAAAGAGAAAGTATTTTTCCATTTTTGTAGGTTCTGTAGGTGATCTTTGTAGTGTCTCATTTGGAACTGAGTTTTTTTGGGTTTTTTTTTAAACACTGGATAGCTCAGGGCAAAAAGAGTGACTGGTTTTCAAGAGCTCTTAGGTACTCTGCTCTTTCTACTTCTCTTCTGTCTGACTGTTGTCCTTTCTGTCTGACTTGTCCTTTTCTGTTAAAGGTGAAATGGAGCCAGTGTTGTGCTGACTCTACACGATGTTGTTTATACCAAGCAGGGAGGGTCATGAGAAGGTTTTTGTGGAACTTGTGTTGATTTTTCTACTCTTTTCCTGTGTTGTGTTGTGTTGTGTTTTGTTTCGGACATGGGTTTATTGGTATGCAAAAGGAGAACTGCAATGGCTAAGGCTAGTTTCAATAAAATGAGCCCAATCCTGAAAAATAGAAACATATCAATGAACACCAAAATGAAAGTCCTGAAATGCTATGTTTGGTCACCCCTTCTATATGGCTGTGAATGCTGGACAATCACTAAAGACAGTGAAAATAAAATAGAGGCAACAGAAATGTGGTTTCTTAGGAGACTGCTAAGAGTATCGTGGAAGGAAAAGAAATCAAATGAGGTAGTGCTTGATGAAGCCCACAAGGGACGCTCAATGTTAAAAACAATCAGGAAACGACAAATGCAGTTTTTGGGACACCTGAATATACAAAAGGGTCTTGAACATCTAGCTCTCACTGGCAAAATTGAGGGCAAGCGAGGCAGGGGTAGGCCCAGAACAACATACTTAGTGAATTTAAACAAATGGGTAACAGGGAAAGATCAGGGAAACGTAGCTTTTCTGAGAGCATCCGAGCAAAGGAATGAATGGAAAAATCATGATCGCCGATGTCTGTCGCAGATCTGGCACTGGATGATGATGATGATGGTATGTATATTACAAAAGTAATATTAATCAGACAGCCACCGGAACAATCAGTATGGATGCCTTGCGGGCTTTGGTGCCTGGGGGGAACTGAGCACTTATGGACCTGTCCGGTGTGCAATGACGTTGTTGCCCAGGACAGGTAATACAGGTAATATATTACAAAGTGTCACTGTCTCTGTTTCTTTCAGCGTGTCACTACTGACCCGGATGATGACATCAGCGCTTTGACTTTCTCCCTTACCGGACAGGCCCCTAACCCCTCACCTGGGAATCCCACCTATTTCAGGATTGACGGGTGAGTCTTCTTTGGAGTTAGCACCTTTGCTGGGTGCTGATTACTTTGCACACATTTGATTGTGGATCTTTTTATCTTTTTTGAAAGTCCAGTGTTCTCTGCTTTGCTGTATAAGTTCTTTGTGCACTTTGAAACATTTTTTGTTGTTGTGTGGGTGGTTGTCGGGTGCTCTGGTGTGGGTTGCTTCTTTTTTTCCTAACAAACATCTATCGTCCTTATCTCTCCTCCTTTTTTGTGTGTGTTACTCTCTTGCTGCGCATCTATTTTTCGGTACTTATATTATTATTACCTTATTGTGTTGCAAGTGCCGTAAAACTCTTACTAAATGAAAAACTTATTCTTTGTCATGTTCACAGGACTAATTTGCTAAACCAGAGGCTCTTTGATCGTGAAACGATCCCAGAATACAACTTGACAGTAACGGTGAACGATGCCAACAGTAATGTGAGTTATTTCTCCTTAATTCCATCACCCACATACTTTTTGTCTGCGTTCTTACGTTTTTATCATAGTTACCCTACAGTGTAATTCATGTCTTCACACTGTAAATCATGTTCGAGGTTCTCAAGATTTAGTACATCTGGTTGTCACATCATGTTATATGGTCTTGGCCTGATCTATCACGTATGTAAGAATGGTATAGAATGACGAGAAATCGTTCTTAAAACTAGCTTAGTACTGAAAAAAGCAGGTGCGGAAATGATTTTTTTCAGGGTTTTTTTTCTTAAGATGTAGACAAACGATAACTACGGAGACTTATTTTCAAAGTTTTAAATGTTTTGAATGATATTTCCGTCACTTTTTCTTGTTTATTTGACACATGCTTTCTAAACATAGCTGTGCCTGCTCCGAGGACCAATGAAAAGTGCAGAATTTCCTTTTCAGATAGTTCTTTGGAATGAGTTGCTTCGTTTCTTACAGATAGTGCTGTCCGTTGAAGATTGTGAACATAAAGAGTTGAGTTGTCTGTGGTAAAGCTTGGCCAGATTCTTGGGAAAAATTGTACCTGTGCTGACTGTTTTTGAGGTAGAAGTAAAGGAAACCTATTCGAGACACTTCTTGTGTGTTTCCTGCATTTCATTATCGTAAATTCATGCTGTGGGAAAGTCAGTGGATTTTAACAGAATCTGCCCTCCTCTCACCTCCCCACCCCCTTCCACTCACACACACACTCTCACACACACACACATGCACATACACACTACAACACACACTCGCATATGCACACGCTCACACGCACATAACGCCCATACACGCTCACTCACACATATAACACTCATACATGCCCACACTCACACACACACACACACACACACACACAAACACACATGACAAACACACATGCACACTCACGCACATACACACACACACTCACACGCACACGCACACAACATGCACACACAGGTATGATATATAATCGTGAATAACATTTTTCTAAATTCCTGTCATATTTCTATTCCATTGTGCAGACGGACTCTGCCCTTATCACAGTAAGAATCACAGACATCAACGACAATAGTCCGACGTTTTCTCAGGCGTCCTTCTCCTTCTCTCTACCAGAGAACGAGCCTGTGGGTACTTCTGTTGGATCGCGACTCGATGTGAGTATTATTTACCTTTGTTTTTACCTGCCATTTGTTCTAGTGAACAGCTGGTTGAAAGAATATTTGTGAAGCAGCGTGGTGGAATCAGGCTCTCGTCAAAATAATCAAAGTGAAGAAACTTGCTTTTTTCTGTGGGTTTGTGAATTTTTCTCAAATTTTTGTTTTTTGGCTCAACACCTTTCATGCCCATTAAAAAACTTATTTCTGAGTGGATTTTTCTGAAAAACGTTGATTAAAGGCACAAAAAATGTAAATTTTCAGTTACCACGGACTCTTAAGCTAAGGAAATAACTAATCTTTGGCGGCCATTTTCTCACCAATTTTACCTCTGAAAACAGGTGACCACTTCCTTCATTCGCAAATATCTCGACTTGTATTGAAGATAAATGGATATTTTTTTCATCCAAATAAACACAAGTGAACAAGCTTTAAGATGATGCCAATAACTCTACATGCCCAAAAATTGAGGAGAGCCTGATTCCACCACGCTGCCTCACATATTTAGATTATTTTTTACTGATACTTTTCTCAGGTTCTTTAACTCAATGTGAGTTTTATTTACCTTTGTTTTTACCTGCCAGTTGGAAGAAAGAATATTGCAGTAGCGAGAGCCGTAAAACTCCTGCAAAAACAAAACAAAGTCAGAATATTTATTATATTTTTTTTACTGATACTTTTCAAAGTTTAAAAAAAACTCAATGTGAGTTTGAGGCCGTCTGCTTTTCTTCTTTTCACTATTATTTACCTTTGACTCTTTGTTTTTTTCTGCCTGTTGTTCAAGTGAAATACTGGTAGAAAGAATATTTATATCATTTTATTGATACTTTTCTAAGGTAATTGTATCATAAAGGTACCTCTGTCTTTTTTCACCCTATCCGTACTCCTTGGGGTCATTTTGTACCCCCGCGGTTGTATTCTTCACATTTTAAAATACTTCTTGTACGAAGATCTCTTTGAAACTTTCAGTATTTCTCAAAAAATCATTTTTGACAGACTGCTATGCAAAAGGTACGGATCGGATTAACGAGTAAATTTCCTCTTTGGAAAGTGGTGGCACAGAGTTGCCCACGTCGTAAGGGTACAATAGTAAGACACGACGTATGGATAGGGTTAAAGGATTTCTTTGCCTTCTATTTCATAGAAGACTTTTACTCATTAAAATACTTTGCCTGTGGAGTTTGCTTTTGTGGTTGTATGGGAGATAGATATTAACTTAGAATGTCTTAGATACTCTCACTCCGATCAACACCATAAAAAATATTCATCCCAACACTCACTTATCAATGCCAAACATGGACCACGAACAAGACATTAGAGCAAAGAATTACAGCATGTGAAATGCGATGCCTTAGAAAAGCAGTAAACAAGACCAGGCGAGACAAAATTAGAAACTCATTCAGTAATCAGAGAAATGGTGGGCACAAATGATGTCATGCATCACATCCAACACCAAAGAATCAAATGGTTCGGACATCTCCTACGATTACCAACACACCATCCAGCACAACGTGCCTACTTAAAAAATTCTATGGCAACCAGGCTAGAGGGCGACCGAGAAAGACCTGGATAGATGGAATCAGGGAACATTAATCACTCACGGCATCCTCCTGACCCAAGCTCTCCGGCTGGCGACAGAGAGACGTCTCTTTCTTCCTTCGACACCCAAAAGGGTATAATCGGCGGATAAAAGAAAGAAAACCCTCACTCCATGCCCTCAGTCAGAAGCCTTTTTTTTTGGTTGCATTTTAAAACTACTAGACGGCAACATGTATTCCCCACAAAGTGAACTATCAAAACAGGTTCCGTCATTTTGAATTATTGACCAATTTAGTCTTGTATAGTATAGTATAGTATAAGGTTTTACGGCGCTCGCAACTGCTAAGGTCATATGAGCGCAATTTAGTCTTGTATTTGTCACTTTTCGACTTTGTACCAAAAGAGGAACCTGGCATAGTAGGTTTATCCCTTGCGTAGATAAAAAAGACTGAACATCCTGAATAAGTGCTTGCTGTATAATCTTCAAAATGTAGAGAGCTGATTTGTTTCTTGCTCCTGAGTACTTTAACTGAATAAGTAATGACCTTGGCTATACTTTAATCTGGTCTATTCCCCCCCCCCCCCATGTAGGTGCGGGAATCCATTCCAAAATCACATCTTCTCGGAATGTTAATATAAAAAAACCCTTTATTTTTCAGACTTTCGTTTCCGACCAAGATGCAGGCCCGAATGCAGCCATTGCTTTTTCCATTGTGCCAACCCAAGATTTCAGTTCGTAAGTATGATGGCTTGAACTGTCTGCCAAAATAGCTTATCTTTCACAGAGTGTTAGAATGAAGTTTCCTCTTTTTTGCTATCCAAATGTAGCTTTTTAGATTCTCATTTTTGACCCTTGCTCATCTAAGCACTTTCCTTGGGGTGTTTACTGCACTTGTTGCTGCACATGTCTCATTTCTCCACTTGTGCCTTCTCTCAGTTATGTAGAAAATGTCATGACCAAAATTGAGTCGATAGTGCCGTAAAACACCTACTCAACCAATCAGTCAATCATAGAAAATGTTTGAGTTGTTCCAAGTTGCCAATTAATCACTGTCGTTTATTTTTCCAAGTTTTTTTTTTGGTGGTCTTCCCCCTTTTCTTTTGCCTTTCATGCTTTCTTTAATGACTTCTTAATTGATATGCTTTTGTGGCCTCTGCAAACATTTCTGAAAATGTGTGCCACTTAGTGCCTCTGGTGAGACATTTTGAATAAAAACGCAAAAAATTGATGGTCATGGCATAATTTGACTTTGGCAAAGAGGCTGTAATTTGGGTTGGAATTCAAGTTAAATTAAAAATAATTTCATCTTTTCTGAAACATTTTTCCTTTCGGCTTGATGTTTTGAAATGGGATTGAGGTGTTCTGCCTTCAATATGAATATTATTTGTTGTTGCAGACCTTAAATGTAAACTCTGTCAAGGGGCTCTCGTGGCCTAGAGGTTAAGGTGTTGGCCTCTCATTCTAAGGTCCTGGGTTTGAATCCGGGTGGTGACTGAAAAATGGTCTTCTCTAAAAAGTATCTCCTTTCACCTCCTTTCCTGTTCTCTAGCAATGTTCTGTTGTCTGCTTTCATTTCCACTTTCTGCCCCCACCCCCTTACCTCCTTTGCCCTCCTCTGGGCTCCTGACTCTTTCTGCAGCCTTTCTACTGCTACTCCTTGGCTCCTCCTAACTGCTGTCTTTCTGCCACACCCCTGATCTTCTGGTAGGAAAGATCTACACCTAGCCTTCTCGGACAAGGCGAAAAATTTCGGAAGGCCCCTGTGCAAGTTGCGCACGTTAAAGATCCCTTGGTGGTCTAAAATCGATAAGAGTAGGCTTCGGCCTCCACCCAGGCAAAAATTCAAAATTTCCTACCAACTGAAAATATTAGGTGTGTCCAGCGCGCTCATATGACCTTATGCAGTTGCGAGCGCCGTAGAACACTTTACAAAAACAAAACAAACAAAAACTCTATCAACAACATTAGCACTGTTGTATTTATCTGTATTGGGATATTTTGTTTTTCTAAAATCTTCAGAATTTGTCTTCATATTCATTTACCATTATAGTGAGTGCTTAGTGCACACTCTGTCATGGTTTTTGTCTTCTCTTTTAGAGTTGGTGCTGTCTCTTTTTGTCCTCACTGAAATGTTATGATTCTCACACGACTCACCACCCCACGGGGCGGTGCCACTGACTGAAGTGTCTTTAGGCCATTCCCAATTGTGGGTGGGTAGGGGGGAGGGGGGACATTTGTCCTTCTAATGCACAGTAGAATTGTAAATGGGCTGATCCAACAATGTCATACTCATAACTGTGCCTGAACTACAACAGGGAACTGCTGCTTTTTCTTTCCTAATCCTTACTATTGTCATTTTTCCTCTACTTCTTTTGTATGTTTTGTCTCTCTCTTCTGACCCTCTATTTCCGGGGTGCCTTGATAGTCGAAGCCAACTTTGTGCTGTTAAAGCTGGAACGGTGAGCAGTCTAAGTCTGATTCCCTGCAAGGACTTCTCTGTTGACATCCACACCTTGACGCTCATATGACGTTATGCAGTTGCGAGCACCGTAAAACCTTTACTAAATAAAAAATAAAAATATTTTGTTTGCCATTCAGACATGCTTCGGAACCCCTCAAATGTTATTCCTTCATTCCATATACAGATTCAGCATTGATCGCCTCACTGGACAGATCAGGACAGCGAGCATTTTTGACTATGAGGCTAAAAACGTGTACCAGATTGTGGTGATGGCGTCAGATTCAGGGCTCAGCCCTCGTGAGTCCGTGGTACCCGTTACCATAAGGATCACTGATGTCCAGGATTCTGTGCCTTTGTTCGAAGATGTGAACTACGAAGTGAATGTCTTGGAGAATGACCCCATCGCACAAGTAATCTCCCTGACGGTAAGTATATGTTTCTACAGGCTTGTTCCCAGCTCTGATGCAGGCCCATCGGTCCATAAGAGCTTTTTTTTTCTGTTTGCCTTTAGTCTTTCAGTGCTGATCTCATTGCGGTAGGGGACTTAATATGGGAAAATTGTACCTGTGTTTACTTTTCTGGAGATTGAAGTAAAGGAAACACATTCGAGACACTTCTTGTGGGTTTCCTGCATTTCATTTATCGTAAATTCATGCTGTGGGAAAGTCAGTAGATTTTTTAATAGGATATGCCCCCCCCCCCCCTCCCCACACACACACACAATGTTTTTGATAGACAGAAGTTCCTTTCTCAGCACTCCTGCGATAATTGACACCAGTTTCTTACTTCAGGAAAGTATATGAACTGAGTTTTTTTTAAGGAAAAAATTTCTTTCTAGATCAAGTTGGCTGTCTTGATGAACAGGCCTTATGTGGGACCTGCTGTAATGCTGCAAGGAAAAAGTAAATGTGCCCAAACTAAAGAAAATATCTTCTTTCTCAAACCCCTTTTTCTTGTTTGCTTTTACTTTAAAAAAATACAACTACTTATTATATAAAATAAAATGTTTTTATTTGAACAGAATTTTTATACTGAAAATCTGTTTCTTGCTTCTGGTTTTTCTTCTTTCTTTGTGTTTCCCTTCCCTGTTTGATCTCCAGAGATGTTGACTGCGGGTCTTCAACCTGCAGTGCAACTAATTTTTATGGATGTGTCCGTTTATTCCTACTTAATTGGGCCCTTTGCTTTCAGGCAGCCACATTCCAATTTTGAAGGTACTCAACATATTTTCATGCTGACTAGAGTATTTTCAGTTCTTGTAGGAATTAATTTAGAATTTTACCCGGAAGGTGGCTGAAGCCTACTCTTTTGGATTCTGGGACTACTACTGGATCTTTAATGTGTGCAACTAGCACATGGGACTGCCAAGATTCTGTGCCCTTCTCCGGGTATGCTAGGTGTTCAAACCCTAAGATCACGGATGTGGCTGAGTGACAGCAGTAAGAAGGAGCCAGGAGAAGCAGTTCATGTAGAAGAAGTCAGAAGTAAAGGAGAGAGGAGCCCAGAGGCTGGGAGATAGGGGGTGGGCGAGGATGGGGGAAGAAATTGAAGATGAAATCAAGAAAACAGATCATGTCTAGAGAACAGGAATAAAGGTGAAAGTAGAACACTATGGCGATGGACGTTTTTCCGTGGCTGTCAGGTTTTGAATTCAGGACCTATTGCATGAGAGGCGAACACAGTACCCCTAGACTGTGAAATCCACGTTTGCCTCTTGTTGAAAAGATATTAGGATGTCAAAGTTTGATACCCATTTACCGTGATAAATGCAGGGGAAGATAGGTTTTTTCGCCAGATGACAGCCACATCGTCATCCCTTTATCAAAATGCTCTGGTGTGGTATGCTTCATCTTTCCTATCAAACGTCTATCGTCTTTATCTCCCCTCCTTCTTTTTGTGTTTGTTACTCCCTTGTAACACCTCTAATCTTAAGCACTTATATGACCTTATTGTGTTGCAAGTGCCGTTAAACACTTACTAAAACTAAACTCTTCTACCATGTTCTCCGTTTATGCATTTGTGCATTTTCTAAGATATAAATTCTTGTCAGTGGGTGGTTGGCAGGTGTTCTGGTGTGGTTTGCTACTTCTTTCCTATAAAACATCTATCGTCCTGATCTCTCCTCCTTCCGTTTTATGTTTGTAACACCTCTAATCTTCGGCACTTATATATGACCTTATTGTGTTGCAAGTGTCGTAGAACACTTACTAAAACTAAACTAAATTCTTGTCAGAGAGGCAGGTAAGGAAGGAGGGTTGAAGAAGTGAATGAGTTATGAATTAATTGCTATCATGGGTCAAAATGATTGAACCTTTGAGCCTCTACTGATCTAATATGTCTTCACTGTTTTCCTCTGACAGGCCACTGATGCTGACCTGACTGATTCATTCAACTTTGTACTGGTTGACATACCGGGGCGAACAGATGCCTCTGCGTTTGCTGTCGATACAGTTGGCAGTGTAGCCAATGTGAGAGTTGTTGGCGCTCTAGATTACGAAACCAGACAAAGCTACCAGTTCATCGTCACTTCTCAGGATGCGATCAGTTCATCTGACAAGTTTGCCTCTGCAACAGTGACTGTCAATGTGATTGTAAGTATTTCTTTAAGCTGTTCAGTCTTTTAAGTTTTCTGAAAGTCCCTCTTAACTCTTGAAACCCTGAGTTTTTTCCACCGTTTCCTGGAGTTTTTGCGACAGTCTCTTAAACCCGGTACACTATGTCTCATTACTCCAAAAGCTTGCCTCCACCAACTTTTAAATGCCGGAAACAATGGCTTTGTCATTACTAAAAAACTTGGTTCGGGAATAGTTCAGAAAAACAAGAAAAACAAGCATTGAATGGAACGAAACAGTTGTCACCGGCATCGGACGCTCCCATGGGGAACCGGGTTATTACTGCCGGACGGCCCTAACATCCGATGGGGTTTAAAGAGTTAAGGTTGTTGCATTCAGATTCTCATATTGTTTTTTGCTTTTTCAAAAAGTTTTTTTCCTGCTCTCTACTCCAAAAGTTTTTTTCCTGCTCTCTACTCCTTGTGGCATCTGATGACAGGAAAGGAAAAGGGTTGTCGGTTGAATATCTGAAATTAAAAAAAAAAAAGTGTAAATATTGAGTTCTCCTGATCGGCTGACATGAACTCTGTTTATAAAAGTAATTTGTTGTTATTGTTGTTGTTGTTATCGATCCAGCAACATCCGGGCTCTTGCCCGTCTGTCCAATGCCATGTAGTGATAAGTGCAGGTTTGCTGCAGTTGCTGTAATGTTCCGTAGAGTGTGTTGATAAAAGTAAAAGTAATTTAACTCTGCGTTATCTAATTGGTACTTGGAGTATGGACAAAAAAACTTTTTGTCTCTTTTGCTCTCAACATTGACAATGCCAACAAGTACATTTGAGAGACAGTAGTCACATTAAGGCTGAAATCTTGGCGGGTCTCATTTGAGTTTTTTTTGGTAGAAAAATACTTGTATATTTTGTGTTCTTAATAGTTTGGAGATATTGACTGTACTGTACTTGTGTTTGTAGGACGTGAACGACAACGCCCCGGTGCTGGGGTCCTATACCAACAATGTGAACATCTTGGAAACGGAGCCCATCGGGACACTGCTCTCTACCATTCAGGCCACAGACGGTGATAGATCGGTCAGTTTGTGGTCATTGTATACTTTCTCAATACTGTTTTATTAAGTTACCTTCTAGTCTCAGTTTGTTTATGAATATTGTTTTATTCAATTGCTAACTTGCGATTTAAAAAAAAAAAAAAAAAAATTCTTGTTTTTCTATCCATACAATTTTATGAAGTTACTAGTGGTTAACAAATATTGTAGTATATTTGGTCAGCTCCTACTTCTGTTCTGGTGTCTCGCTAATGGGTGCTCGCTCCAGGATGTGGTATTCTCCTTGTGGTTATTTCAACGTTGCTATTTTCCTGTTCAAATCCTGGAAATTTTTGCTGGTATTCTTTGCCGATTCATCGTAATCTACGATTGTATGTTTGACAACTTTTTTTACAGAGTTACATTTGTCTTAATCTTGTACCTGATGAAGTAAACATTTTTCCCTCTTTAAGAGATGATTAAGAGAAAAATTTTCTGCTGTTGATTCTCCAGCTGTGTTGCTTTCATGTATGTTGCATTCATATATGTTGTTGCATTCATGTTGGTTGATTCTTCAGCTGTATTGTATTCATGTATGTTGTAGTCTTGTATGTTGTATTCATGTATAATTCACATATGTTGTATTCACGTATGTTGTATTCACGTATATTGATTCTTCAGCTGTATTGTATTCATGTATGTTGCTATCACGTATGTTGTAGTCACGTATGTTGTAGTCACGTATGTTGTATTCACATATGTTGTAGTCCTGTATGTTGTATTCATGTATGTTGCCGTCACGTATGCTGTAGTCACGTATGTTGTATTCATGTATGTTGCTATCACGTATGTTGTAGTCACGTATTTTGTAGTCACGTATGTTGTAGTCCTGTATGTTGTAGTCCTGTATGTTGTGTTCACGTATGCTGTAGTCACATATGTTGTAGTCCTGTATGTTGTGTTCACGTATGTTGTATTCACGTATGTTGTAGTCATGTATGTTGTAGTCACGTATGTTGCAATCACGTATGTTGCAATCACGTATGTTGTATTCACGTATGTTGTAGTCCTGTATGTTGTAGTCACATATGTTGTAGTCACGTATGTTGTAGTCACGTATGTTGTAGTCACGTATGTTGTAGTCCTGTATGTTGTGTTCACGTATGTTGTATTCACGTATGTTGTAGTCCTGTATGTTGTGTTCACGTATGTTGTAGTCCTGTATGTTGTGTTCACGTATGTTGTATTCATGTTGCAGGGACCTAGCAGCGAAGTGCGGTATCGCCTCAGCAACGTATCTCCCCCTCCTTCATCCAACATATTTTTTGTGGGAGAGGTGTCTGGTCAGCTGGTTGTCAGCAGTTCCCTGACTGCCGAGAGAACCAGCGACTTGTACTCGGTGAGGTTTCAGCCTGTGCTTCAACTGGTTTTTATTGTTAGTTACTGTGAAATGTTTTGTTTCGTTTGAATTAAGTATTAGGATCAGCAATCACGTGATTGATGTAAAGCATTCTGAGCTTATACTAGTATGAGATAGAGCGCTATATAAATGCAATCTATTATTATTATTATTATTATTCTTATTATTGTTATTGTTATTATTATT